TAGTTTCCTTATTTTTCTTATATATATCATCTCTGTGATACAGCCGTTTGCTCCATTCTACTTCCAAATAAATCAGTGCATTGCTAAGTACATTACACACACTGAGAAATGTATAAATGGGTTTTTACTGTAGTTTGCTCTTCAGTCCATCACTGAAGGAAGTTAGATCAGACACTCTAAGTAGGAACTGGATACAGGAGCTGAAGCAGATACTGTGGAAGAGTGCTGTTTACTGGCTTGCTCTCAAGGCTTGATCACCCTGCTTTCTTACAGAACCTGGAAACAGTTTCCCAGGTGTCGCACCACCCCAATGATCTGGACCCTCCCATATCAATCATTAATCAAAAAAATAATTCCTCTGTAGAAGATACCTTCCTCCCCCCTCCATCCCTTATTTTCTACCTAATCTCTGTGGATATTCTAAATAAAATAAAAGTTTGAAAGCTAACATTGATATATAAGAAAACCATATATATCAGGTCTAAATTATCTCACTAGCAATAATAGCAATGTCCCTTCCACTTATAGCCAAGAACCTACTTGCAATTCATAGCTGGGGCAGAAGGAAAAATCAGTGTTCTTCAAGGGAATGACACACCCTTTAAGCTGTCCCCATTGCCAAGAGTAATTAGCCAACACAAATCAGACTCCATGGTGTGTGTGTGTGTGTGTGTGTGTGTGTGTGTGTGTGTGTGTGTGTGTGGGGGGGGCGGTTGTGTTTAGTTGGGGGAGGGGAATATGATTAAAATACATTGTATAAAATTCTGAAAGTATAAACAAAAAATCTTTAAAAAGGAAAACATCTTGCAGATTTGCCTACAGACAATCTCTCAGATAAGGCTTCCATTACCAGGTGACCCTTTGTGTGTCCACTAGACAAAAATCTAACCAGGACCCTATTTTTTTTTTTACAAAAATTATCCTGTTGACTGTTAAACATAAAATGAAGTGGTTTGTATCTAATAATAATTATTCATCTGATTTTTAAGAGCTCTTCAATTATAGTTGTCCATCAGACCATTTTAATTGTTCACTTATTCTCCTTTTCTACAAATGATGTTAGTATACTTTTAAAGTCATCTTTTGCTTTAGTGTTGTCATTTAACATTTTCTCTTGAAATGAAAATACAGATATATCATAATATTCTTAGTGTTGAGTATTTAGTTATATTTCCTTATATGCTAGGTAATGATATGCACTCTGATTTAATTTGTCCATTGCCTTGTGGCTTGTGGCTACATATCTAAATTTTAATTAATATAATATTGTTGATAATATTATATTGGTATATGTCAATCACATATTATATAACAAAGTAATACTACATAGTATGCTAACTGCTCTATTTTAGGTTATTTTATTGTATCATGTTATATTGATTATATATAATTTTTACATCAGAATCCAATCTTATTAATTTTATATTAGATAGTCTTTTTCTTTAAATGGAATAGGTATAGTAAGATGGTTCAGTGGATAACAACATGTTAGCAGTCCTAAGACCTGAATTTTACCCCCATGGTCCATATTTTGGAAGATGAAAAACCTTCTGGCTAGTTGTCTCTTAACTGTGCCTGTGTTTGAGTGCAAGTAATTGAATAGGTAAATAAATAAATGTAATACTTAAAAGAGAGCAGCTAATATTCCATGTGTATTCAGTGTTCCCAATGATCTGTATTCTTCTTTCTAGATGTAAGCTAGGACTAGAGCAGTTGCTAAGGTGAGCGGCTTCCTGTGTCTACCATTCACTGAGGTTCTATAGGTGATGGCAGAAATCAGTTTTCCTGAGAATTTGACCTTAGGCTTTGAAAGACATCTGGTTCTTCAGGAGCAGTATTCCATTGTCTCCTGGATTTTACTGCTGGTTTCCTTGTTACATTGTGTGTCGTGCATCTCTTTCACACAAGGATAATCCCACGCCTCATTTTCCTGTTTCCCTTCCAGTCCCTTCAGCTTCATTAGAGCATTGCTGAGCTCAGTCGTGTAGGCAGCTGCATTGCTAAGTTTCACTGGGCTTCTTGGATCTGCAAGTAAATGTTTTATTTCACAAATTTGAGAACTTGAAATTAGTATTTCTTCAATTATTTTTCTGTTTTGCTTTCTCCTCTCCCATATGGGACTTGAAGTGTGTGTGTGTGTGTGTGTGTGTGTGTGTGTGTGTGTGTGTGTGTCTAAAGCATACAAATTTTTATAATACTGATTATACATTTATCTGTTTTTTTTTTTAATTTGAATTAAAAACGATTGTTTTACATGTCAATCCCAGTTCCCTCTCCTTCCCCTCCTCCCTACCTATCACATATCCTTTCTGCTCCCCAGGGAAGGGTGGGGTTTTTTTTTTTTTTTTTTTGGTTTTTCGAGACAAGGTTTCTCTGTTTAGCTTTGGAGCCTATCCTGGCACTCACTCTGGAGACCAGGCTGGCCTCGAATTCACAGAGATCCGCCTGCCTCTGCCTCCCGAGTGCTGGGATTAAAGGCGTGTGCCACCAACGCCCGGTTTTTAAGAGCAGTAATTCTCTGAGTCTTCTACCTTCTACCAAATAGATCAAACACTTCCTGGCTTGAGAATTTTCAACTCATTTAAGAGTTTCCATTTATCTGTCAAGATTCATAATGAAGGTCTTATCCTGCAAGTTTTTACACATGTCTTCAGTAACTTGTTTAAAACTTCTTAATAGCTAATTCTATCTCTGGGTCATCTCCAGCTCCTCTTCTGTTGGTTGCTGTTTTAGAGCTATTCACTCTGAACACTGTTGAGCCTCGTGATTTCATTTTGAATGCTAAACATAGTAGGTTCACTGTGACTTGTAGCTGTGCTTCCTCCCTCCATACTTCTCCCTCCTCCCTCCCTCCCTCCTTCCTCTTTCTCTCCCTCCTCCCTTCCTCTTTCTCTCCCTCCTCCCTTTCCCCCCTCTTTCTTCCTTCTTGCTTGTCTGCCTTCTGTCCTTTGTCCTTTATCTCTCATTCCCTACATCCCCCCTCTTCCTATCACAAGCAGAGTTAGACTTTATAAGGAATAAATTTTACATAGATTTAAGCACCATGGGAGAAGTGTCCAGGGAAAGGTTAAGACACACCTAAGTGTAGGCATCAACGTTTTAAGAGAGTCGTGTGTAACCACTTCTCAAAATGCAGGTGGTATTTTATGTTGTAGATTATAGCTTGTCTTTCATAACCACCTCCTTCTACTACTGAGGTGAGAAACAGACAACATAAAACACTTAAAGCAAGTGGACACAATTATGTTCCAAAATCAACTTGTTTACAAAGCAAGGCATTTAGGCTGTAGAGTGCATTTTTCTAAACTCCTCTTTTGCTGTACTTTTTTGTTATTGAATTGAAAATGCATTTTTTTCATACAATATATCCTGATTAAGGTTTCCCTTCTACTACTCCCACTTCTCCTGGTCCTTCCCATCCATCTCATTAGAAAACAGACAGACTTCTAAAGATAATAATAAAATAAAGTAAGATAAAACAAAGGAAAGAAACCACACTGGGATAGGACAAACAGAAAGAAAGAAAGAAAGAAAGAAAGAAAGAAAGAAAGAAAGAAAGAAAGAAAGAAAAGAGCCCCCCCAAAGGCAAAAGAAACAGATATTGACACAGAGATCCATTCATTCCCACACTCAGGAGTCACATAAAAACACAAAACTGAAAAAGCCATAATGGGATAGGGCCTAGGCCCACCCCCATGTGTCGAGGCTCAGGGAGTACCCCTCTTTGTGGAATGGGATCCTAAAGTCTTCCTATGCTAGGGATAACAACTAATTACTACAAAAGGCCCCATAGATTTCCAAGGTCTCCTCACTGACACCCACGTTCATGGGGTCTGGATCAGTCCCATGCTGGTTTCCCAGCTATCAGTCTGGGAACCAAGAGCTCCCATTGTTCAAGTCAGCTGTTTCTGGGTTTCACCAGCCTGGTCTGGACCCCTGTGCTCATCACTCCTCCTTC